TCTTTCCCTTGAATGATGAGTACAAAATTGAATAGTTCTGTAAGAACTGATTTGGGTCTTTGTACAGGTAAAGATAATGTTCAAAGTTTTTATAAGCTTTTTATAAAACTCTACCATTAGTCTCTCCTTCCTTCCAATTAAATCCTTGTAAGTTATTCTTATGTATCACACCACCTATTTTATTTACAAAACTACTTTTATCTTCAGATGGCAAAGGAAACTTTCCATTAGATTTATGCTACTTGTGGGTAAATCGGCTCAATAAGAACATTCCATAACTCATCTTGACCAGTGAGGTTTTTCATATCCCACATACACCTACCTAAACCTTAATTTTAATCTTCAACAAAAATTATGAGCTAAAAACTTATGCCCTAAATAAGAAACTACAGGACTGTGAGTTTTCAAATCACAGTTGAAAATCATCTCACTCACATTACTAAGAAGGGGTCAGTGGCCTTTCAGCTGCCTGCCCCGTGTAAAAACTGGGCAATGCTGTCTCTGAAGGGCCACAGAGAGAAAGTTAAACTACCTGCAGCCAAGTAAGGAAAACAAGAGGAACAAACAGAATAGAAAAGGGGAAAAAAAGAGGAATAAAAGAAATAAAGTGTTATATATAAAATGAACTATAGAACGCCACCATATAATGCATAGGATTGAAATAACATTTTTTTCTACCTAGTCCACTTTCTCTTCTATTTTATGCATTAAAATAAAGACCACTGAAAAATAGTAGATACTTACGCACTAGAAATACAGCTTTTTGCTCCCGAGCTATCACCATGAGATCGTTGGTTGGTGATAAGGATAAAACACAATCCTGAAGCCAGGAAGTCTTTTGTGTTTTGCATGTACTTCCTTCTTCTTCCTGCAGATAAAAACGATTATTGTACATGCGAAAACATCGAGAGTCTTTCGACTCTGCTTATCCACCTTGAAAGGTGAGGGGGGAGAAAAAGGAAAAGAGGAAAGAAATCTTCCCGATTCTTTTTTTTCTCCCCACAAAGTCTCAATAATATTCCTTATCAAACCACGTTAAAGATGACCAACAAAATATCCACTACAAACAAATCTCACTTTTGAATATAAACGCGAAAACACTGTCGTGTAGACAAATATAAACTAGCAAAACATTAAAGGAATATCACATGAGATCGCTCCAGGAATGATTCGGTACTAGGAAATTGAGTGAATAATCCTGTTTCAGAGAGATGGAGAGATGGCACAGCTGTCTGCAGCTAGACAGTAAAGGATGGACTGTCTGATGGCTCCATGGTTACAGGGGCTGTAAACTACTCATAAATTTGACTTCTCTCTTTTTATTTGACCTGAAAGGTGTCTTCTTTTTTTCACTGAAAATTTATTCGTTACATAGGTAAATTCCATTGGTTAAAAATTCAACAGGTCTAAAAAAATCTCTCTGGAAAGTCTGTTCGCTCTACAATCAACCGACGTTATCGGTTCTGGTGTGATTTCCAGAGACAGTTTCCGCACATGAAAGCAAACACATTTACTACTTTCTCCCTTTTTCTACCACAAACGGTAGCACGCTATATACGTACTTCTATAGCTTACTTTTTTCTCTTAACATATACCTTAGACTTCTTCCAAAGGTTCTTTCCTTTTTAATGGCTACATAATATTCCACTGTACAGACACACCACGATTTCTTGAACCAGCCCCTTATTGATGGACGTTTGGACTTTTGCTGCTACAAACGACGTGACAGTGAATAACTTTACGTTTGTCAGTTTGTGTGGAGTATACCAGTAGGGTCAATTCCTAGAAGTGAAACTGCTGGGTCACGGGGAATGTGTATTAGTAAATTTGCCAGATATTCCTAAATTGTGCTCCACAGAAGCTGTGTTAATTATACTCTGACCAGCAAGTTTTCAAAGTGCTTGCTCCCAAACGCGATGCTCAAAGATGCTTCACGTCTGGCTCTTTGTCGATCTAAAAGATGAAAAGCGGCATCTCAGTCCCCTGCACTCTTGTGGATGAGAAACGGGCATTTTCCCACACGAGGGAGCAGTGTGTCCCCTCCCTCTGCAGATCTCCTGCTGCGCTGGGGCTCTTTTTCTAACGGATCTGTGTATTCTCTTTACGTATTACGAAAACTGGCCCGTTGAACATTAAGAGTCACAAATATTTTTTTCCAGTCCACGTGGTAGCTTAATTTTTTTCTGAGTAGAAATTTTTTGATGTTATGTGGCCAAATTATTGATCTATTCTCTTACGGCTTAAGTTTTATGTCATGTGGACTCCTACCTTACTCAACCCTATCCCATGGCTTTTAGACCGAATTAATCAAGAGGAGGGAGGAAGAAGGGGAAAGGGATGCAGGCTGTTTTCACATTTAAAAAAAAAAAATTACACATTTATGTCTTTTTAAAGCTTTCGGTAAGCATGCATTACTAGCACAGTAATATTTATGATATTAAAAGCAAAAAATCATCCTAGTCAGAAATAGCATGAGAGTATTTCTAGGAAAGATAAATTATTTCTTGCTGGGATATTATCAAAGGAACATTTAAAACATGAGCAAATTATGTTACAGGAAATCTGCAGGAAAACATCCGAGTAGGCCTGACAACCTTGGCATAGTCACGCAATGACTTCTCCTCAGAGGGACGTCGGGACCTGAGTAGCTCTGCAGATCTTCTCCAACGCACGGCGAGCTAAGGAGGCTGCCCCATCTGCCAGGAGACGGGGAGGAGGGCAACACTCGCAAAACTCGTTTTATTCAAGCTTATTTTGGGGGAATTTTGCTATCCAGGTTGCTGTTGAGTAAAGAGCGTGGGTCTGTCTGGAAAATGACCACAGTGTAAGCAAAGATGCATGGCAGATGCTGATGACTGCGGCACTGCTTGCGACAGAAAAAATAAAAAGAACAAAAGAAAATTCAATCTTTCTCCACAGGTGTGTGGCTAAGTAAATCACCATATATTCATCCAATGAGATGTTCAGTATTCCTTGAAAAGAGTTAGATGCTTTATAATTGCAGATATGGAACAACCTCCAAATTATATTCAAAGGAAAAAAGCAAGAGGTAGAACAGGACGTAAAAATCAAGCCCATATGGACTTTCAGATAAAGTGGGAAATGAAACACGTGACTTTTGCACTTCCTCTACCCTACATTCAACCCCAGGAAGAACAGCAGCGACAGAATTTGTTTAAAGGCAGAAACCAGTGAGGGCACAAAGAAGAGGAGGAGAAAAGCCACAGCGTTTTGAGACCTAGAAAGCAGATGGACAGGAAGTACGTAACGGACGTTACAGTCCCTAGGAAACGAACTCGTCACCTGATGGAGAGGAAGGCTGAGAGGCGACGCCAGATGCACCGCGAGCTGCCCCCGGGCTCAGGGAGCGGCGCCGGGTCCCCTGGAAGCCAGAGCAGAGGCGCCGCTGAACCCGCAGCTGGCTGACAGTGTGTTTCAGCAGCGTCAGGTCTCCGATCCCATGCTCAGATCACTGTCCCACCCTCCCTGGCAGGCGAGCAAAGGCCCGTCACCAAGTCATAACTAACACAAGCTCCCCTGCAGGGCGCCTGAGGAGTGCAGAGTGAACTAAAAACGGGAGTGACGAACACGGGGAGACCCTCAAACACTCCGCCAATGATGCCCCAAGACAGCCTGGGCCTGCTGGCGAGTGGCCGCAGACTCAGGAACGCACATTCGCCCTCGTCTGTGGGCAAACCATGCCTAAACTGTCCTTTCCACACTAGTGATCACTTTGCCAGAATCTACTAAAACCAAATAATGACCTTACAGACCAAAAGTTTCAAAGTCTCCAAAAGAGGCCAAGAAATTGGAGAGAATGAAAAGGGGAAAGGCAGAAATGGAGACCAGGACAGTCACACTAGAAGCCATGGGCCAGACCAAGACTTCTGAACGCCAGTGCAACTGACGTTTGGGGCTGGGTAATTCTTTATTTGGGGGGCTGTCCTGTGCACTGTGAGGTGCTCTGCAGCATCCCCGGCCTCAACCCACTAGGTACGCCTGCTCCAAAATTGTGACAACCAAAAACGTCTCCAGACACTGCCAAAACAAACTGCCCCCAGTTGAGAAGCGCTAAACTAGACCCGGATTGTATTACTGGTAAGAGGAAGTATTTCTAAATGGCAAAATGAGCGTTTCTAACAAAGGTCCAAAGTCCCAGGGGAGCCCGCCTCAGGGAGGGGGGGCCTCTGCAGCTGCCGCCCCCTTGCGTGAGAGCCGGGGGCACAGCCCTCGTATAAGCTGAGTGCCCTCCTCCGGCCCACGGCTCGCCTGGTGCTTCTGTCTCTTGTGTGCTAGATGCCACCATAGTCTAATGACACTAAAACGAGGCAAAATATCTCCCAGTGTCGTCCCAGATTATTGCTGCTCTAAGAGTCTCCAGTTGGGTTTTCTAGTCTGTTCCTCAGCCTGTAAACAAGCATCTCTGGGGCCTCTCCCTGACCAGCTTCCATCCCGCTAACCTGCCCGACCCTGCCTGCCTCTGTGAACGGCATTATTCCACTCTGGGAAACAGATGGGGCATCTCCCAAAGTGTCTCTGAGTGGAAATTTCCTGTGCTGCCTCGCTTAACTGCAGTCTTCAACCCAGAACCTTCTGTGCTTCCTGTTCCAGACACCAACAGATCCTTGAGTCCAAGCTTCCTACACTTTGGTCTTAATATACCAACAAAGGAAAGCTCGTTAAACCTGCCTTGCCAGTTAAGTTAAGCCTTGTCAAACTTCCTCCTAAAGGGCCTTGCTTCCCATGAATCATGAGGCAGATCAAATATCCCCCTCTGACCACTTCTTTCTCAAAGCAAAAAAACTAATTCCAGCGAAAAACGCTTCTGTAACACAGTAAAAACCACAGCGAAGCCAGTTACTGTTTGTTACGGAGTCATTAACTGGCAGATGCTGTGGTGCAACGTTACCTGCTTTTCCAGTTTCCCCACGCCGGACGCTGTCTGTCTTGATGCCTATTTAAAACTCGGTGCAGAGGAAGGTCTTCGTTTTGGCCTTTCTTCCGTCTTGAAAGCCTGCTGTTTGCCTTTTCGACCCTTTGGTGTATTTACTTACGGGCAAGCAGGAACTCCTTAGCCTCGCTCCTTGTACTTGTACACAGTTAGGCCTGACACGGATCCATTATTTTGGGTACTGTTAGGTCTGAATCGTGCCTCCTGCCTCCTCCCCGCCATGAACAGTCCCATGTTGAAGCCCTAACCTTCAATGTGACTTTTTTTGGAGACGGGGCCTTAAATGAGGTCATGAGGGTGAGGCGCCGATCCGACAGACTGACATCCTTGTGAGAAGAGGAAGAGACGCCAGAAGCGGCTCCGACTCTCCATGCACGGAGGAAAGGCCACGCGAGGACGCGGCAAGGCCAGAAAGGGTCTTACCAGAGACCAGCCCTGCCGGCACCTTGACCTTGGACTTCTAGCCTCCGGAACTGTGAGAAAACAGATCCCTTCTGTGCAAGCCCCCCAGCTGCGGCACCCAAGCAGACGACTATGGGCACGAAGTGTCCACGGGGGCAAGACGGACGCCATCCTCAGAGGCCCGAGGCCTGCCGCGTCACGGACACATGCTTTCCTGAGTGTGACTGCCGACGACATTTTAAATCACACTTTCCTCACTCGGCCCGCGTCACAGCCGACACCTCGGAATCAGAGTGCTCACGAGACTACCTCCTTCCGCAGCCTTGTCCAGGCCCCTGGCACTAGACCCCTCTGATGACAGAAGCCTTTACGCTCCTCTGCCAGGAAAATCGGAAACTACTCCCGAAGAGCGGACCGACACGGAGGTGAAAGGTGCCCTGAAGCTTTGACAGTTTTCTGCTGGGCTCGGCGGCGGCCAGCTGGCCTCCGGGTTGTGCAGGGACAGTGGCCTCTTAGCTGGCCCGTCCGTGGCTGGTCCCCGCACCACGGCTCCCCTCCTAGCGACCGAAACACGGCATCTAAGCCAGAGTGACAGACAAGAAAAGCTGACTCCTCTGCTGGTCACGAGCACCGCGAGCCCACGGCCGCCGGTGGAGAAGCCTGTCCCTGCCTTACGGTCCCAGCACCTTGCCACAACCGGAAATGGACTCCGAGGCGTTCCAGCTCTCCCAGGACTGGTCCCGTCTTCAAAGTGGCCAAGACTGGCCACTGAGAGCTGCGGGGAAGGCAGGTGCCGACTCCGCTGCCTGCTCCTAACCGGACAGCGTGCACAGGCCCCTCTCCGTGCTCTTAGGCGGCTACGTCTGTCGCCGTGACAAGCGCACGAGCTTCCCGCGTCTGCCAGTCTGCTGGCTCCTGCTGTGCCTCTGCCGCTGGCCTTTCCTTCGGGGCTGTTCACGAGCAGAGATGGTGGCAGACGAGCAGAAGTCGCCTCAGCCGAGGAAAACTGCTGCCTGTCCCGCTCGGCGAGGCCGCATGTAGGCGCAATGGCGGGAGCTCGGAGGCCACACCGCCGGCCTCGCGGGCACTCGGCAGGTCCCCCCGCAAAGCCGTCCTCTTACACCACCCAAACTCGGAGAAGCTCCCCCAGAGCGGGCGACCTTAACATCCAGAGACTTCTGAACATCTCTGTCCTCGCCACTCTGCTGCCACCCAAGTGCTTCTCCCTTGCCATGCACACGAGACTGTGACCAGGTGCAAGGGTTCGGTGGAGGACAAGAACGGTTAGGAGTGCCTGGGACAGCCGACACCGCTGTCAACGAGGCCACCATGAAATACTCATGAAATACTCATGAAACAGTCATGAAATACCGTGAAGTCAGCTGCCCGTGGCCCTTAGGAATCTAAGAGGCGAAGCTGACAGATGCTACAGCCTATTCCGCAGCGTGGCAAGGTGACATGAAAAACCAGAACTCAAACAGCGCGGTTTCTGACCACATTTAGAGTCAGCGCCACCTCCTCGAAGCCCTGGACCAGGTCTGCTCGCTTCTCCTCGGACCCCGACTCGTAGGGCGGTCATCTCTACTACGTTAGGTGACAACGCTTAGGGAAGGGACACTGTCAGACGAGCCAAAAAGCAGGTCTCTGACACACGACCGGTGAACAAACACCCTTAACACCGTCAGGAGAGATGTCGCGGATGTTTGTAAGGAAAACCAGCCTCACCCGCAAATCCCCAACTGCGCCGTGCACAAGTAAAAATCCATTCCAGAAGGAACCAGCCATGCACCAGTGGCCTCTTAAGACGTGGCCTCTGGGTCTGTAAGTAAAACGCCATGCCTGCACCAGCGCTGTTTTATATTAATAGTCACTGTCCCACCGGAACCTCCCGTGAGAATACAGATGCAGAGTCGGTGAGGTTTACCCAGAGAAGCGCACACTTACTCGGGAGCTTGCTGTTTTACTCACGATGGTCGCTTAGCTATAAAGTGACTGTACCCAGAGCCACGTGCAGGGCGGCCGCCCGCTGCGCTGTGCCCCTCTCAGTTCTCCCTGCTCGCCCCCTCCAGGAAGGTCTGCTGACACATCACGCAGCCTCCACACGTCTGGCACAACCCCCTCCCCGCCTCCACCCCTGCCACAGCTAACCAGACGGCTGACGGATGCCTGGCAGAGGGCAGCATCGACTGCTGAGCTGCTGTCCCACAAAGTGGCCTGGTACAAACACTATGTCTCCCTCTCCCAAGGAGCCCACACTGGATGGTGAGGAACAGCGCCCCTCGCCAGAGCTTCGTTTCACTGAGTCCGTGCTGTCTCTCAGGCCTCGGCTGAAAGGTCTACGAAGGCTTTTCAGAAGGCCCGATCCACAGGAGCCACGTGGTCACTGGTCAGCACATCACCACTTGAATTCTCTATATAACTGTTACCACCACTTGATGCTTTTCATCTATTTAAAAAAAATGTCTTTCTACATCAGGATGTAAGCTGCTGGGAACAGGGATGCTAAGACCTATCCAGTAAATATGTTCGTTCTCCTTTTTTCATAAAAAAAATCCTCATTCTGCTCAGGTGTCAATAACCCCTCGCCTGTGTGGCCTTGGGGCTCAGCAGAAGCTGACCCTTTTAGCCTTTTATCCTCTGACTCCAGGGAGTGGGATGATTGACCCGTGAAAATCTTATATACTTGCCAGTGACTAGTTCAAAAACGAGTCTCTGGACCAATTCTGACCAAGAAGACGCAGGACAAGGTTTGCGACAGACTTCTCGAAAGCTGTCCCTACTCCCCAAAGCGTCATGGAAAGCCCAGTCTTGCCCCTCTGGTCGTGAACGAGCATGTCACTACCTCCTCTGGGGGAGAAACGAGCTTCGGGATGAAGCCGACACGTCTCCGCAAGGTAGACGGAAAGAATCTGAGTCCCTGAGGACACAGCTGAGTCATCCGCTCAGCCGTCCTCAGAGTCCACACTGTCCCTGACTTCCCTCCATAAGCGTTAATGAATTTCCTTGTTACTTCAGCCGCTTTAGGTTAGGTTTCCTATTCCTCAGAGGTGAAAATATACTAATACGCAGGGACTTCTATCTTGCTCATTGGTACAGTCCCAGCACCTAGAAAATGCCTAAGTGTGGTGGGCACTTAAACGTATGTTGGATGAATAAGTGAAAACATCTAAGAGAATAACAAATGAAGGAAAAGGAATTCGAAAACAACTATTCTCCATTTTGCCCACTTAGCTACGGTCAGTCACTAACCCCCTAACAAGAGGTATCAATCCAAGTATCACAAAGTAAGCACAAAAACGTTCCTGATGAAGATTTTAAAAGGTCGGCCTAACAGTGAAATATGTCACCATCATTACAGAAGGAAAACGCCGCTGTCACAAAGCATGCGCGCGTTAAAACGACTTACAGGTTCTTGGGGCTCTGTTTCTTCCCATGCTCCCCAGCCATCGTCTTCCCAGTTTGTTGATTTACCTATTTGTTAAAAAGATGAAAAGTACTTACATGAAATACAGAGCTTAAAATATTTTATAAACATTTTCTCTAAACATAATAGAGAAACCAACTCCTGACATATATTATATAAATGTTTTATGTAAATATATATTACCTAAAAATAATGTAATGTTAGGGAAGAAAACAATAGTAGACCACACTATACCGGGATACTGCTATATGTAATAATGATCAAGAAACATAGATTTATGTCACAGGAAAACTGGGCAGATCATTTGGACCTTAAGACATTGCACATCGAGTTTATCCACACTTAATCAAACTGCAAAGGCAACTTTAAAAATAAATCTTAAAATGACAACTATTTGTTACTTAAGACATCAGATGAGTTAAATATAGACAGTGACAAAAACACCTAAAACTTCACAGATGTGTCATCAAACGGGAGCTGCTTGTTGATACGAATAGCGACAAAAACCTGAGCGCGGACTGACACGGGGCGGTCTACCCTTCACCTGCTGCTCCTCTGCGGCTTCTCACACACGGAAACATCCTCTCGCGTTGAAAGGGATGCTCAGTGAACAGTGCAACGGGGCATCAGCAATCCCAGGTAGGTCCGGAGAGTGCGATTCCTTACGTTACTCATGTGACTCGTTTTTACATAATTACCTTTGAATCTCCCTCTTACGGTATCACATCAGAAGAGAAGGATAACTATCGGTTTTTGAGCGACTACTCTGAGACAAACATTAGCTACTTCATATGCATTACCTCAAATTAAGCTAAAAAACACATAAAGTTCAAATACAACGTGAAAAGGGCAGGCGGTTGCATAATTACATGGGAGTTGAGGCCCCAGAATCAATTGCCTCGGTTCACATCCTGGACCCAGCATTTGCCAGCTGTGATCTACAGCGAGGCACTCATATCCATCCAGCCGTGATCTACAGCAAGGTACCCGTACCCATTCAGCCATGATCTACGGCAAGGTACCCCATATCCATCCAGCCGTGCTCTACAGCGAGGTACCGTATCCATCCAGCTGTGCTCTACAGCGAGGTACCGTATCCATGAGCTCTGGTTCTCTCCCCACGAAAGCATGGAAAACAGCAGTACCTACATCTAGTAGGGCTGTCGTAAGGGTTTAAATCTGCACACTGAAGTCCTCAGGGCCTGGCACATAAGTCCCCAATGCTAGCCATCAAGATTTAGCCATTAAAACACTACAAAATATGAATATTATATTTAAACCAATCAGCTTCAAAATATTGTGGAGAAGAATTAATTAAAAAGATGGGACTGAACCTGGTCTCTAGGAAGCAAATAGAGCTTTCACTTACATATATAAGGTTTTACAAGTTGCTAAAATCAATTATGATTTTATAACAGATGATAACAAACGGTACAGTCTGGTACTTGGAATCACTGCTCACTTCGCTTTGTGGGATATTCTCATCTCTGGTACTTGAAAACCACAGAAATACTTCCTGGTATGCCAAGCACATCGCTAGGCATATTTTAAATCCTAAAAGAATACAATCATTCGACTAACACTGCACAACCTATAGATTTCCATATACATGCCAATTAAATAATTTAATAAACGTTCTGTTGAATAGCATGTGCCAAACCCTGCAGCAGGAACAGAAAAATACAAACAAACTCCTTGTCCTTAAAGAATCTGTGGTCCAGGGTGGGAGACAGGCGAACGTGTAACCATAGCGCGTGGTGAGTACTATAAACCGACCGCTACAGGAACGCAGATGAGGCAGTGAGAGAGACGGAAACTCAGGAGTCGTCTTAAGCAAGCTCTTTAAAAAGTGGCTGGGAACTTTTCAAAAATACTTGAGAAAAAAGGTCAACGTAAGCAAAGGCAAGGAGGCGAACAGATGCAGTACACAGACAGGGTCACCACATAACAGCACCACCTGACAGGCGTGGGAGGACAGGACCAGGGGACGGTGGGGCTGGCGGTTAAGGCCAGAAGTAAGACAATACTTATTATCTGAAAATAGAAACATTTCCTTAATATCGAGATTTGGCTGTTTTTGTTTTTGTTTTGGTAACTTGGAAAATTACAGTTTGTCTTTTGGCAATCTAATTCGGTTAGGCAATCTCTTTATTCTGCTGACTTTTCCATTGCATCAAAAACAAGTGCCTCACTGTGGGCTGATGGCAACTAGGCCATCCCATTTACACAGTTTTTTTAGAAAACACACTGTCACTTGTATGACAAAGCAAAGTATCTAGAAAAGTTTATCACTCTAAAATGCACGACTCGACTTTAAAATTGCTGTATGGATAACGTATTTATCAAATTGCCATGATCTCAGAAAGACCATGTAGAATTTACAGCACTGCATGAAGGTCAGCTAGTCATTCATTCATTCATTCATTCATTCATTCCAGAAACACAGCATCTTTATGTCTTGGGCACTGTGCTAAGTGCTGGAGATACAAAAGCAAATACGCCTTCAAAGAGCTTAGCTTGTGCACACAACCTCTGCTGAACGTTGTACAAAACAAAACCATAAAAAATGTGTTATTTCTCCTCCATCGTGGTATAAAAAGTGCCTGACTCAATGCACAAATGACTCACACAATCAGACAGAGGACACAGCACCACGAGTTTCCGGCCCTGGCAGAGACCTAATATCACTTTGTCACAATTCAAAACATCCGGGAAGAGAAAGACCTTGAGAAACACTTTCTTTATTCAAGATATCTGTGTTTTTAACAGTCCAGCCATTTCTCAATGCCCCTGGCTGGCGAGTTTCTATTACGAGGGAAGGAACTTAATCAGGCATCCGCCGCTATGACAGGAGTACGTTTTCCAAAGAAACCATAGTACGGAGGTTTAAGGAAGGCAAAACCAAACTCTTACTCAGGTAGGTTCAAGACGTTTTGAAGGTTGGTCTAGAATCATAAGTCTATGTACAATACTGTTAAGAAAATGCATTCTAAATTCTAGTCATCTTAAAAATGGGAAACATTAAAAAATTTTTCTAAGAGAAAATCATCTGCAAACTGCACTGGCCTTGTGGCTGCTTCTACACAGTGCCAGCGAAATAATATCTGCAGCCTCCTGACTCCCGCTGAGAATCATCTGTCGCTGTTTTGCAGGGCGCTATTTGACAGCTATCGCGGGCTGCTAAAAAGCGTTGGAATCTCTGCACTTTACCAACGTTATTTCTTATACCTTCAAAGTACGTGGGCAGGCCAAGCACATTCTTAAAAAAGAAAGGATGATTTATATTGAAAAATAGCTAACGAATGTCTGTCTACTAAAGCTGCCATTCATGTAAAGAATTTTATTGAGGCGGTCTTCCTTCCGTTAACTTTTCTATGAAGGACGGTGTTCTTCAATCGATATTGCCATCAGTGTTTTTAACTGGCCGTTGATCAAGGTTGTGGATAACCAAAGCAATGAGCTTAACATACATTTGAGAATTGTGCACTGTTTAATGTCAATGTGAAACGTTGGCATTAGACTTTAAGGTCTATAAATTCTACGAACTCGTGAAGAAATAAACCTAATTTATTTTCTATGATATGATCAATCACTATAAAGAAAAGCTAAAAATAGTTCACCGTGGTTGCCTCTTAGAATAAATAGATCAAAATCTCCTCTAGGCCAGATTTGAAAGTCCCAGGCTCCGGTATAACTTAAAGCTAACGAAGTGTGGTTAACGAAGGATATTACAGAACAAGGACTGCAGGACAGGGAACTTCTACAGGCTGCTCAGGATCCAGCGGAAAAATTCCAAGCCCCACAAATCACAAAGCCATTGGCCTTTCCTCAGTTTATCCAATGAGCTAAGGGGCACTCATTTCAGTCAAAAGCTAGACTGTAAAGGAGAGCATAATGTTAAGTTTTTGTCTCATTTATTAGCCAAAAACCCAATCTCCAAAGAGCAGGTCTTTAAATGACACTGTCATTAACTGCCTGCGTCCTTTACTCTGCTTAAGTCCAATTCAACGAAATTGATGAGAAAACGAGGAAAACGGCATTCACGTTCATTGCCTGTACAAAACCAGAGTGATGGTCTTCTGCAGATGCCCCTCTCTTGGTAATCTTAAAACCTCAGCAAGGAAGAGATTAAATAATGAAGTTTCAGGGTTGGCCCCACCCCACAAATCTGACGCAGATCATCCATGGATCACATTTTGAGGAAAACTAGCTTCAGGGATAAACTTCGATGCCAACCTAACGTGATCCCAACTATCCTTTCCTTTGCCTGCATCATCCTTTCTTTCTCCCCGGTTAAGACTCTTCACTCAGTGGTGGGCGACTGTCAGCAGCACCATCCCGGAAAAATATAATGCAAGTGATACACACTTTTAAATTTCCTAGCAGCTATAGTTAAAAAGTAGAAACAGGTAAAATTAATTTTAATATTTTATTTAACATAATGTAGCCAAAATATTAGTTCGACATGTAATCGATGTTAACTGATCACGAGATTATTTTGCATTTTTTTCATACTAAGTCTTCGAAATCTGATGTTTTATTTACACTTAGAGCACATCTCAGTTTGGGTTAGCCACATTTCAAGTGCTTGACAGCACACGTGGCTAGTGGCTACAGCAGGAGACAGCACAGGTCTAGAACGACCGGGTGCCTGAGTTGGATACCCATTTTTACGAACTTTGACCTTCGGCATCTAATCTCTTACTGCTTCAGTTTCCTCTTTAGCAAAAAGGAGTTAATAATTGTATCTAATGGAGTTAATAATTGTATCATATTGTTGTTAGTTAATATATGCGAAGCCCTAGGAACAGTGCTGGGCACAAGATTCCCTTAATGACTGTTAAAATGATTCCCCAAATACAACATCCTCATTCCTCATTCTTACTCTGTGCCTTTGCCTATCCTATGTTCATCAACTAAAATGCATCCCATCTGTCTCTACCTCTCCAAAGTCAGCTTCTCCAGGACTCAGATGAATCCTTTATGCAGTTTACTCGCATCTACCAATGATCTTTCTCTCTGGTGAAACCACAGCATTTGATTGTAT